CCCTTGTAGCAAAGAAGGCCAACAGCCTGCTGGACGGCATTATGTAGAGCATTGCCTGCAAGGTCAAGGGAAGCAATCCTTCCCCGCTACTCAGCGCTTCTGAGACACATCTGGAGTGCTGCCTCTGGGCTCCCCAGGAAAAGCGAGACATGGACGTACTGGAGCGAGTCCAGCAAAGGGCCACTAAGATGGGAAAGGGACTGGAGCACATGAGGTAGGAAGAGAGGCTGATAGAGCTCTGTCCATTTTTCTTGGGGAAGAGAAGGCTCGGGGAGCGTCTTGTGAAAGTGTATAAATACCGGATTGGAGATGGGTGGGGTAAAGAAGACAAGCCAGACTCTTCTCTGTGGAATCCAGCAATTGGATGAGACACAGTGGGCACAAATTGAAATACGGGGAATTAGATTGAAAGCAATGGTGGTGAAGGACTGGAACAGGTAGCCCGGAGAGGTTGTGGATTCTGTGTCCTCAGACAAGGTCAAAAGCCAAGAGGACGCGGTCCTGAGCACCCTGCTGTAGGTTACTCTGCTTTGAGCAGGGCCATTGGTCAAACAATCTCAGGAGGTGCCTCCCAACCCTTCTGTGATTCTGTGACTAAAAGGGGCCTGACCTGAGGCCTGGAGAGCTCCATGGATGAAAGGGCTGCGAATAGCTTAAGGTGCTTTCCAAAGAGCTTCCCCAGTGTTGGAGTCTTATGAGTCCATCTGTGGTGCTGCAGTGCTTGGAAGGGTTTGTGGAGGGCAGAAGGGCCTGGGAAGGTCCTGAGCAATAGGCCTGACATCTGTTGCAGGCAACCGAGTAGAAACTGCACTAAACCTTAAACTTAGAGGCTGTATGCATAAAGGTGGTATTTTATGAATGCGTCAACGTGTCTTCTGTAAGGGAAGGCCAGCTGCCATTGAGCACAGGGACAAGGGGGAACTCTGTCATAAAGTGAGGGACACCTGCTTATGGCAAAGTCATTCAATGGTGTATCTGGCACAAGAGGGATTTACTCATCCTAAATGGGTGAGTAAATTAATTGGTCAAAAGAGCGTGTGTTCAGAGGAGCATTCTGACCTGAAGTATTGGGGTAGGAGGAGGCAGCTCTATGAAACTCTCAGCTCGGTTCTTGTGGCAGCCACCCAAGCAGCGTGAGCACTTGGAATTCTTCGCCAACAAGTAGAAAACGAAACAGCAAAATGCTTTCCCGCCACAGTATAAAGGTTAATGTTTAGCAATAATTGGGTTTCAGTATCCTTTTTCTTCTGGATTTTTTTTTTTTGGTGTTTTCTAATTTAGTTCTAATTAGATGGGTTCTTCACAGCACAGCTGCATGACCCTTCTTTCAGCCACTGTATTAGCTGAACATATGATGTCACATCCTCTGCTTGTTTTCTCCATGTATTCAGACTCCATATTTCACCATTTCGTTTCAGAGAAAGGAAGTGCCAGACCATAGAGTTATAGGCGCTCTCAGAGACACTAACTTCTTGAAAATCTTGTCCAGCTGAGCAGTGACTTCTGTGGTGTCTTGAAAGCAGAGACAGGTGAGTAGTATTCGTAGTTTCTTTGCAACGGCGCTTGCAGTTTCAGAGGAAGGTAGAGAACCAGATTTCCTGTGTTTGTTTTGTGAAAGAAATCGACTGGCTAATGCGGTGTCTAATATGTCCTCTTATCCTCTACAAAAGCAGAAATGTATTTCTAAATATATAGAACTGTGATTGTAATAGAAGTTCCTCCTCTTACTAAAAATATGCACGTAACCTTGAAGCTTGCATACTGTTAGATTAGAGCCGCGTTTTTCTGCTTTCTCTATAGCAAAGGCTCTATCCCCTCAAGCCTGTCCCTGCTTTCTCTTCTGCAGTTTACCAAGCTAAAAATGATTTACAGGATTCAACAGGCTGTGGTGTGGAGGGAGGAGGAAATAGGTACGTAGAAAGCAGAGTGGGTTTTTTTTCACCGCCTGTAACACCCACAGCACATGCTGGCATTTCTCTGTAGGAGAAGAAAATGCTCCGGGGATCCCGAGCTGATGATTGTGTATCAGGTGCCTCTCCTCTGTCCCCCAAAGCCCCAGTGCCTAGTGGAGAGTGGTGGCTCTGTGCTGTTGCATTTGGAAACTTCCCAGCGCGGCTGACAAGTCATTTTCTGGCTACATGGAGAGTTTAGTATGTGACTCTTTCGCAGAAACCAGGGGTGAATGACAAATGGCATTGTGCCAGCTGGGTTCTCTGTCCTGTTCCCTGTCTGTTTGGTTACAGATTAAAGCCTCTGGCGTTTCCCGAAGCTCTCTATTCTGGAGCCTGGGGATTTGGATTTGGAGATGGAGCAGAGGGAGGCAGGAGAAATCATAGGATCATAGAATTGTTTACATTGGAAAAGATCTTTAAGATCATCAAGTCCAGCCATCAACCTAACACTTCCAAAACCACCACTAAAGCATGCCTCTAAGTGCCACTTTTAAAGACCTTGAGGGATGGTGACTCAACCACTACCCTGGGCAGCCTGTTCCAATGATTAACAACCCTTTCAGTGAATAAAATTTTCATAATATCCAATCTAAAACTCCACTGTCACAACTTGAGGCTGTTTTCTGTCATCCTAAATGCCACAATCATCTGTGCTGCTTCTTCACGTGCTTTTGCGCATTGCTCTTTGGGGCCTCAGTGGTGGTCCCAGGAGGTGCTGGTTCTCCTGTACTTTCATTTAAGGCGAGGTGGGGGCAGAAATGCTGATGCTAATGCTGAGAATGTAGCTAAAATGACTTCTCTTTTCATTGCTGCCTTGTTAATAATCTCTTGCTCCCTATCCTTCCCTTTTGCAGGAGGAAGAGAGGAAATAAGGGTAAGGTGGAGGGGGGATTGAATTTCCATCATTAGGTGATTCCACTGGCAGAGCTGAGCAGGTCACAGTCAGCATGACCTTTGCATCCTGGGTTGGTGACAGTTGGGTTAGCCAGCACCATCTGCCCGAGGAGGTAGAAGTGAGGACTTGGCAGGGGAGCAGGGTTTGGAAGCAGCCTCAACATTCTCTTTACCTACGCAGTTCTTGTCCTTCTTGTCTGCATCCACCTCCAAAGCTGCCTTGTATCAATTCCCCTCCCACTATCCATCCGTTCTGCTATTCTACAGTGTCATGAAAAATGAGGAGGCTCTCTGTAGGGGCAGGTGGTTGATCTCAAAAGGGAGCAACTGCTCATTCAACAGCCTGGGAGACTGACACCTCTTGACAGGAACTGATAATAGCACTGGGGTTTTAGTATTGTGTTTGGTTTTTGGGGAAGGACAGGTTGTATATCAGGAGAAAAAACTCTCATCATGAGAAAAAATTCTCAGCAAGGCAGCAGTTCCACACACTGTCTATTGACGGAGCTCCAGGAATATTCATAATTCCTATTTCCTTGTCCTGTGGTATTTTGCATATACGTCTCATGTCCAGAATTACCTGAAGTTGTAGAAGATGATAGATAAAGTCTCTAATGCTGTTCCCAGATTTTGTTGTGCATCACCATGTAGGTAAGCCATTTGTGTGCCATATGCTGTGTATCCTTCCAAGTGTCAAGCACAACGTACATGGACAATATACATGGACAGAACTGAGGACCAGTCTTGGTTTGTGATACACAGAAAAGAAGACTCGTCCTTATTTTGTGTTTCAAAGAGAGCAATGCAAAGACGGGCAGTAGTTTCTGATGTGGGATCTGAAGGCGCTGTGACAATACAGAGAAGCCAGGAGACTGTTGCAGAAGTGACCCAAAGGCATAATTTAAGCCTGCTGCCCTGAGGTGAAGGAAGGAGAGTTCTGCTCTGCTGTGGCACCGTTCCAAGGCTCGTGGTCTGCTGCCTTTCCTGTCAGTGTCTTTTTCTTCTTTCCTCCCCTTCAGATCACGACGGTTGTCTTGGGAGAGCAGTCTCTGACAGGAGTGAGACTGCCCAGGATGTCTAGCTGCCTGCCAAAACTGACCACGGTGGTGCTGACTCACAGACTCAGGGCTCTGTTTATCCTCACCATTTCACTTGTGTTCTTTGCCTCTGTCATGTTCTACTGGAGGACTGGGGAGGATGCTGAGGGCCAGGTCTACAGCTTGCCTACACAAAGCATGTGTGCACAGTATTCTCCTCCCCAAGCCATTGCTGGTGGGCCCCCTCCTCCACCAGGGGATGTGTTTTTTGTGGAGACCTCAGAGCGAACTAAACCAAATTACCTGTTCACATGCTCCGTGGAGTCAGCAGCCCGGGCACATCCTGGGACAAAGGTCGTGGTGCTCATGAAAGGTTTGGCAAAAGGGAATGCCTCATTACCCAACCACTGGGCATTCTCATTGCTGAGCTGCTTCCCCAACGTGGAAATCCGACCCTTAGACTTGCAGGAGCTTTTCTCAGGGACACCTCTGGCAAAGTGGTACTTGCAGCCTGAGCACCAGAAGGAACCTTATTTCTTACCTGTCCTGTCTGATGCCTGCAGAATTACCATCATGTGGAAATTTGGCGGCATCTACTTGGACACAGACTTCATTGTGCTTAAGAACTTGAAGAACCTCACTAATGCCCTCGGTATTGAGGCTCATAATCTACTGAATGGGGCCTTTCTGTCCTTTAAGCCCAAGCATGAATTCATGGAGCTTTGCATGCAGGACTTTGTGAAGAACTACAATGGCTGGATCTGGGCGCACCAGGGCCCAGGACTCTTAACGCGCGTCTTCAAGAGGTGGTGCTCCATCAGTAATATCAAGAACAACATGACCTGCAAAGGAGTGCGAGCTCTTTCCCCGGAAGCTGTATATCCTATTCACTGGAGTGCCTGGAAAATGTTATTTGAACCAATCAGCTCCTTAAAGCTTCGTAGGATCCTTAAGAACACCTATGCGTTGCATGTGTGGAACAAACTGAGCCATGGGACAAAGCTAGAGATCACATCGCAGGCTTTCCTGTCTCAGCTGTATTCTCAGTTCTGCCCTGCCACATATGCAAAGATGAAGAAGGACTCTGAAGAGCAGTCAAGGCCTGCAGTGTGACCTGTGGGCCCTTGGCTGCAGGGAAGTTCCCCAACCTGAAGGAACCCGAGTGCCTTTCACCCTCCACAGAATTGGTTTCTGGCCTAGGAGCAGGTATTCTGTGTAACAGCTCAGTGATTTGGTACCATTTCCAGTATCTGCCTCAGATCCCACGTGCTTCAAATATCCGCCGGAACCTGAATTTGGACTCTCTCGTTGTCATTCAGTAGCCCTTGATGCTGCAGGGAAGGCTGAACCTGTTCTTTGGTGCCCATCAGTTGCTCCTCTGTTGCTGTTCCCTCAATTGCTCCTCCTGTGTCTCAGGCCTGAAAAGCCTCTCGTGTAGTTTCAACAAGTGTAGGAACCCTTCGCTTGCTCCCTGTAATGTTTCTAGGTGTGTAAATAAATGGCAGCCAGTGGTATAGGGCACGGTTTATTGGAGCTCAGGGCCAAATTCCCTGGGTGATAAAGATTCTTACAGCTGGTTAAGCATATGGCGAGTATCTGAAAATTGCTTTAAGAAACAGAAAACATTTTAACTCCCTGCATACGTAGCTCGGTATAAAGTTTTTCCCATTTTCCAAAGGCACTTTATTTCAAATGATCTTTTCTACTGTTTTACCTTCCACTGTGATAGGCTGACTTGTCTGGTCCTCTTCAGGAAAAGTAATAGCCAAAATCAGTTTTTTTACCAGTGTGAGTAAACATACCTGCTTTGTTGAAGAAATTCTTGTGGGATGTGTCTGGAGGGCAAAGTGTAAGCAATGTGTGGTTATTGCTCTTTCAGACATGGTGTAGTTAACAAATAAGAGAACTATTAATTTTAATATGTCATTTTCCTAAATTCCATTATATGCTGAAAACTTCAGTGTTATCATGCACGATGGAAGGCTGATGTAAGTTTGACCTGGCCTTTAATATGAGTGAGCAGAATTATGTTTCAAGGTTTGTCAGACACTGAGCCATGACACACTTTTGATTAAAAATCTCATTGCAGACCAAAAGTGAGTGAGTCGTCAATTTTTACTTTAAATGAGTTGTATAAAACAACACATCAACTTATTCTGTCATCCAGTCACGTGTACTCCCCACAAAAAAAAGTTAAAAAAAAAAGAAATGTTGCCTGATCACTCTAAGTAGTAATCTTCACTACTGGTGTTGAGGAGTACTGGATACGCTGTTCCAATGTGCTGCCCATGGCGACAAACAACCATCTGTAGCTCATATTCCTCTATCTTCACTGTTTCACGTGTGACACTTTCTTCAGCCAGCAGGAAAAGGACAGTGTAAAGGGCAAACTCGAATTCCGGGCTGACCCCAATAAAGGTGCTACCAATTGGCTTGACTGAGCCCTTCCAGCTGAACTGGATGCTCAACACTCTGTGATCTTTGTCAGGCTGAAAGCATAAACAAAACAACAGAATAATCTCAAACACAGCTATGACCAGACAGATACATTTTCTGACTTCAGATTTTTGAGAGCATTGCAAGATTCAGTCATCCTTGCTGTGCCACAGTGCTGTAGCTGGAGCACAGCTTTTTCCCTGTCCTCCGGAGCATACAGGATCATTTATCTCAATTAAGCTTCAGCCCTGTAGCGATTCTGTAAATACCAGTTCTACTTTTTAAAACAGTTTTTGCAAAAAAAGAAACTGGGTTTGAGGGCATGCTAGTATTTCTCCTGCTTATATACACCTGGGCAATTTACGTTCAAAACAGCTGAGCCTATGATTGCACTATTGTGCCTTGATTCATTACTACAGCTTTTATCTCTGGATCTATTTGTCTTATTTGCAAAGGCACCCTGCTTGTTCTTACCCTGGTTTTGTTCTTCCGAGCGACATATCCCTTGTAGTCAATTTGGTTGCGCTTTTCCTGAAGGTAAAATTGCACCCAGTTGTGCAAACCTAAGATCTGTTTACCACGCCTTGTTTCTCCAACAAAAACATGTTCAAACCCACAAGAATCAGGTCTGTAATAAACCAAAGAATAATATATAGGTCTTCTATGTGTTTAAATGGTTCAAATTGGCAGAGGTAAAAGGCAAGAAGATGCACAAGCTTGCTTAGGTTGATTTGTGAGCAGCTATTTTATTTGTCTGGATTTGTTGGGTTTTCTTTCTTACTTTGCACAAAACTTGCACAGAAATCGAGCCACAAAGTCTAAATTTGTATTTGATGATGAGGGTTGCTAGTAAATGCCACAGATGCAGCACTGCTGCTTATCCAGATTTTAGCAAAGCTTCTGACATTTTCTCCCATAATAGACTCAAAGACAAACCGATGAAGTACAGATTAGAAAAGTGGATGATGTGGTGGGCTGAAAAGTCGACGAATGTCTGCAGTTGAAGGCCTGTGATTAGGGGCACTGGAGCTGGAGGCAATTCACCAGTGGTGTACCCCAAGGGGCAATACTGTTAGTATCTGATCAGTAAGTCTTTAAACACAATCTGGTGGGAGCAATGAACACCTCATTTAGGCCATATTCTGAGACTGTCTTCCAGTTCTGTGTGTAACAGATGGCACTTGGGTTTACATTTACTTAAGTCAGAATAGCGTAGAGATTATCAGAGGCCATATCCATCAAACATACCTGTCTCCTCCATTCCTGGCATAGAGCTGGAACCAGATGTCATAGAGCTGATGTTTGAAATTGGCAAGGTTTGGCTTTGCTAGGTTTTTTTTAAGCAGGTATTCATGAGCCAGCTGAAGGACAGAAAACCAAGATATATACACAGTTTACTTTTTAATTCAGTGTTTTTAGAAACTAAAAAAGATCTGTGTTACTCACTTTCATGACTTCTGTCGCTAAGATAGCATCAAGAAAACTATTGTTTTCAACAATTTCTTCTGGAGTCACTACTTCTGCTACACCAGTTGATGTCTCATAATTGTCCAATAAGGAAATAAAGGCTGTAGAAAAAGAGAAACTTTCAGCATGTTCATCCTGATGAACAGCCCATATGCCTAATCATACCTGTGATCCAGACATTAGAGAATGCCATCATAAAAAGTTGCCATATAATATGCCTTGACAGACCTTAGAGAAAGATATTCCTTTATATGTCAGATTTTGTTCTCACGTACACTGTTGCATGTAGGTCTAGAGGTGACTCAAGGTCAGACCACCGCTGTACTTCTTTTTAAGATAAGCAGCTTGCTACCGAGCTTCCTTACAGAACCAAGCGCTGAAGCAATAATGACCTTCTACCAAAACAAACGACAGCTGACCACCAAAATTACAAACATAGGCTTATAAACTTGAGATGAGCTCACAGAAGGCTTTGTGGGCATTAATTCAGACAGGGAATAATACAGCATAGACCTACATGAGATGGCTTGAGCTTGACCGCATGGCCACTGAGTGGATGGGTTCATTTCCTCCTTTGCACCCCTTTTGCCACCTGCTCCCTCCTGTCACTTCTACTCATGCTCTGACACTCAGTGGACTCTGGGGGCTGATTCAGCACACCAAGCTGATAGAAAAATACTTGAGGTCAAAAACCTAAGTAATTTCCCGCCAGTTTAGTGAACTGAAGGGACTCAGCATAGGGTTCAATGGGTACCAGAGCTGCCCTCACTAGACACAGGATTGTGTGGCTCAGAGAGGAGTTGGGGAAAGAGAGACAAATGATGTTCCCCATTATGCTGGCTGTTTGATCAGCTTAGTGTAACTATCTGGGGAAAAGAAAAATCAGGGAAGGAAACGTATTCATAGACATGCTTGAGGGATAGCCCCCAACAGAAATGCAAGAAGTAGCTGTGGACCTAGTGCTATCTGAAAGGGCTAGAAGTTGTGAGCAAAGGAGGAAAGATGACTTTGGCATCTTTTTCCATACATGGAATAACATCAAAGCAATAACATCCGTTTCACTTTGTAGTGGAAGAACCACAGAGAAATTCAGACTTTGGCTAAGGCACAAAAGGATGTTCTTGCTGAGGCTGAGGTTAGAGGTAACCTCCATGCAAATGTTGTGGAAACTACCTTCAAATGACACGCAGCCTGATGATCCTCACCACCACACAAATTATATATAATGTTCTACTTAGGCAAACACAGAAAAACCAACATGGATTCTTCATGTCATTTCCACCATTAACAAAAGAATGGGTCTCACTTGCAAAAGTTTTTATGCTCTTCAGGCGTTCTTCATTTACATTGTGAAACAGATGTCTGGCTGCGCTGTCCTGGACACCATTGTCACCTTGCTGTGCAGCACCTGCTTTTCCCTAGGAGAAACACCAGAGTAAAACAATGAAAGAAGTAAGATGTCCTTAGAAGACACAGTGCCTGCCCTTATAATAATCAAAACAAAAGCCATAATGCTATCAGAATTCTTTGTTATGAATGGTCTCCCTACAAAACAAAAGAAGACATTACAGAAGACCTGCCAGCATAAAGAAAAAAGACAGAATCTCTGACACTGTAAGAGTCTGAAATTTCTCTCTTGATTCATTTTCAGAGATGATTGTGATGACCCATGGTGATAGCTCAGTTCTGGTCAGTAACCAGCTGTGCTACTATGCTATATACATCACAAATGATAACGAGAAGTAATGTAGAGCCAAGGCTCCCTCCCACCACAAATAAATAAAAGGGTGATTCGGGCACCTTCTGTCTCTGTTCTTTTGTAACCCATAGACCTACTGCATATAGTCTATGAGACCATGCCGTGCAGCAGAGGGGTTGTTTCTCTCCTGAGTCCCTACTTCCTAAGCTAGCCAGTCTAATTCTCCTCTCCTCCATGATAATGCTTAAGCAATCCAACTCCTGAGCAGACTCCCTCAGTCTCAGCCTTTGTTTTCTCTTTCTCTCATGGCCGCAGCCCCAACACGAGGGAGATGCCAAGATATGTATCTGTACAGCTCCACCAGCTTTGGACTGGTGCATCCTGGTGCTCTGAAATTTTCAAAGACTTCTGGTTGGCCACATTTAAGGGCATTTTAATCAATGTTACTAATAAGCACATCCAAAATGGAAAGGAGGCTTTCCTGACAATTTTCAAATTTCTGTTCCAAACAGGGCATTCTCAAGGAAAGAGGAGAAAAGATGAGTAGTAGTTTGTTAAGATGGGTGAGGGGTAACTAGAGACTTTTTTCTGAGAAATGGAGAAACCATATGGGAAAAATTTTCCCCACACACATTTTGGCCTGAGGTATATACCCTTTTTTCAAGTTTATCAGCAACAGAAAATTGTAACTTACAATATGAAGCAATGTTGAAATAAAGTGTTTGAGCATGTGTGTGAGTACAAAACAGGATACTGAATATTCAGTGGCATGCTGCAAATTGTGGCCAAAACACATGGTCGTGTTTCCGTTATGCTGAGCTGGCAGAGAGTGAAATGGCTGCTCATCAACTCTGATACTCAGTCCTCCCTCACAGTTCCCTGGGACTGGTAGCAACAACCCTGAAGCCCTCCTCACCCACACCTCTGTGATACTCCTAACTCTCCAGAAAAGACCCAAGAATTCCTCAAATTCCTCCCTTATTCCCCCAAGAATGACTTGGGACCTATCTCCCCTTCTCCCTCGCTGCAAGTCACCCAGACCATACACAGAAGCAGTCATACACATACAGAAACATCCAGGGTGGAGAGGACCTCAGGACATCTCTAGTCCTGCTTGAAGTATGGTCAACACTGAATTCAGACCATATTGCTTAGGGTGTCATTTTGTTGGGTCTTGAAAACCTCCAGAGGTGGAGATTTCACAGCTTCTGTTGGCATCCTGTTCTGGCTGCATTTATCGTTGTTCAATTTCATGATGTTCCTTCCTTAGCCTATTCCTCCAGCTTGCCTAGGTCCAGCTGAAGAGAAGCCCTGCGCTTGGACATACCAACTTCATCACCACAGTCTACTGCTATCTGCAAAACTGGAAAGGTTGCACTCCATCTCCTCCTCCAGACCACTGATAACGATATTAAATGTTATAGGACCCAAGACAGACACCTGAGAGACTCCACTTGTAACCAGCATATTGTTGACCATTATTGTGTTCTCTTTACTGTTCCCTCTCCTAAGCGATTCTTCATCATTAGGAAGTCCTGCCTATGCCATTAGTGGAAATGACAAAGCATAGGCAACTCTTTTAGCTAAAGGGAGTTTTGCAGACACCTTTTCCTACTGTACCATCCTGCCCTTAATCCTCATGGGACCTAGCAATTGGTTACCTGCAAATCAATTGTGTAGTCTTTCCCAGGCATAAGGCGGTTAACATCCACATCCCACATCTCATTGAAAAGTTTAGAAAGTTCATGATTTAAGGCCTTCCTGTCAAGAAACCCAGAGAAATACACATGTTAAAAAAGACATATGCTGTTATTTCTGCAAGTCACTTTTAGAGTCTTCTAAGGTCACTCTATATTCTGGATACTAGCTTGTCATAAGGAGAGCTTTCTCTTCTCCCCACACCTTTCTGTCAGTGCTGCTCTAAAAAACATACAGCTTACGGTTCATGTTCATATCTACAAAATGCAGGTAAACTGTAAGGAAACTTGAGCCTTCCCTATAGTTATTTTAGAGTATATTTTAACAAAGTTCATGTTAATAAGCCTTCCTGCACCTTTCCATGCACTGAAATAATAATGAAGATGATGGTGTTTCATTCAGGAGGATTTTATGTACAAACCAGTGATAAGCAGGACATTGTTATCAGCGTGCAGCAATCATACACAACAAAACAGGAAGCAAAGAATTCTCTCTATGATCCTTTTCTAGCAGCAAACTTATATATACACTCTTCCTAGCCTTTTTTCCTGCAAGACTCCACCCTAGAGATGCTTCCCCTTGCCCATACATGTGGTTATCCTAGCATGTTAGTGTGATGAAGGACGACCATGACTCTGAACACATGGTCTGCATACAATAAAATTATCTCATGCATTGATCTCTGATGCACATTCAAACATACCCAGGCTGGTCCTTTCCTCATTTTAATGGAATTTTGTCCTGCATAGTAGTGTATAGTTTTCAGAAGTGTATCCATCCATCCATCTATCACCAAGATCTAGGAAGGGTTGTTAGTGTGATGAACTGCCCAAAGTTAGCTCCAGTTTCAAGGGCATTATGTCCTCACTAACCCATACAAAGTGAGTGTCAAGACAAAGAACAAAGCGGAGAAGAAAGAGAAGTGGATTAATCTTTAAATGATTGACAGTTGAACTAATCAGTTATAAACCAGCACATACATCGAAGCCCAGAGAAGAACCGCTTGATAATTTTTAATTTCTCCTCCAAAGCAGATGTTCCCAAAAAAAGAAGAAAAGTGCAGAAATCTGTCAACAATGGGCATTTATTTCAAATAGCCATTTGGGCAACTTGTGATGATTTTGCCATCAGTTCTCCCAGAATGAACCAAGGTGCCTTCAAGCCCTACTCTGAACCTCCTGATTACCATTATGTCTTCTCCTATTCTGGCCAGGATGGAGATACTCGCTGCATCCTCCAGCCAGTGGCAAATTCCATGCTCTCTAGCAGAAAGAGCAAACAAATACTGTGGTAAGGTCACAAACAGTTTTCTGACATGGCAGCCTTGATGTGAGGCAGGCAGGAAGAGCAAAAAGCGAGCCAGGCGGGCACCTGCCCTCTTGTTTGCAGGGAGGGAACAGAAGTCACAGCAGAAAAAAGAGGGCATTAAACAAACGGTGGGAGATTAGTCTAGAAGCAGTACAGCAATATTTTGTGTGCCTTCTCCTGTCCTGGACTGCACTTTGTTGCTGGCTCATAAACTGCTGGAATAAGGTCCATATTGAAGGAAACGGAAAGTAGCAAACTATACCTGGAGAACTGGGACTTTTTTTCACATTATTGAGCAATCCTTTCTCTCCAGAATTGTCAGTGTAACTGTGGGACGGAGCTTATACAGCCTAAGATTAAAATCCTGAAAAGCCTAAGCAATCTGCACTTAGCTCCTTGAGAGCTTGTTGCCCAAAGGATTTTATATCCCTGAGTTAAGAGCCAAAAGCTGACAGTTTGCATTAATGTACCAGAGGATAAGTGGCAGCAGCTGAGGAGAATAAAGAACGTATATAATATTCACATTATACTCAGCATCAGCCTCCTACAGAAGGGCAGGGCAGACAACCGTAAGAGCTTTGGCTGCCACACCTCAGTCTGCCTGCAGCTGGGAATTGGAGCCATCACGTACCTCAGGTACGCTGGAGGCACTGACAGTCTGTTTGCACTCAGGCTCTGTGATACTTTGAGATCATCGTTGATGGGAGATCTACAGGATCACTTGAATTTTGAACTGGGCTTGAATAGGTGTCAATACCTGAGGGAAGGAAAAAGACTAAAAATTCTAGTAAATGGCAGCAAAGGATATGTTTGTTGCTAGGGTTAAACAGGAATATGCAGGAAGATTTCTGCTTGGAACAAGCATGGATACTTGCATGGATCTTACATCGGAGCAGAAGGAGGCTGTCACAAAGGAGCTATATTCAGCCCTTGCCGAAACCCCAGGCTCTGCTTCCAGAGCAGAAGTGTGGCTTGTGGCATCACGTTATCAATACTGGCTATGCAGCCCAAACAAGGCACCTCCTCAACTTCACGGGGAGTTAGCCTCTCAGCATATCACAGAAGGCACCAACACGAGCATTTTTATTTATTTTCAGCCGTATATTCTTTCCAGAGTCTTAAGAAGTGCAATTCCTTCTCAAAACAAGCTTACAAACCAACACTAAACAGAAAATTGTTCATCTCGCCAGCTCAGCTGAAGTCCCAAGAACAGGATCAACAAGTTCAAAGAACAGTACTGGAGATGTTTTTCAAACTTCAAGTCTACATTCGTGTTACCTTGGACTGACCACATTTTATTGGATCACTTTTCTCCTTCTGTCTACTCCTCTGCATCAGCTTATCCCATTTGTTCGCATACTGCCATATTATGTTTAAATACAGTTTTTATTTTGGAAATAACTACCAGTGGCGGATAGAAGTCTGCTGTCTGTTGAACATCCAAGGTATGTGAAATATCAGGTGGGATGTCAGCTGTGGTTTTAATATTTTGTTCCATATATATAGTATTTTATATACATATATTTTAGTATGTGTGTATTTTGGTAAAAGTCACCCATACAGGAAATCTGTCATCCCTTCAATACCTACTGCTTGTTCTTGGTCTGCTCTTGGCAGATTTGTCCTGTGTTTATAATGGACTGTAGGGCTTTGTTTGATCTTTCCTTCTCTAGAAATGTTATGGAATATCACATGAGCTCATGGAGGCAAGCGCAGGGTGTCTACTCAGGAGAGGGTTACAGCAACAGCGTACCTAGAGATTTCAAGCCTCATATTTATTTAATAAATATATTTCTACTAAATGTATTCCTGCATTCAGAAAATGTGTCCTAAAACTCTAAAGTCACTTAATTTTATAAAATAAAAGACTTCTCCCCTTTTTCTCTGCTAGGTGCTACCACAATATCATCATGGACTTTTCCTCTTCTTTCTATTGTCTCTTTAGTTTCCAAACAGAGCAGAGCACCTGTACACATTGTAACTGAAGATCAAAATAAAGAAAAATATATGCCTGCCAAAGCAAATAACTTGTTTAGCAACTTCCACAGTCATCCTGTAAAAACTCCTTCTGGACAGTATTTCTCTACAAAAGGTCCATAAACTTAGCTTATACATATGAGGTGAGACAACTTCAAAGAGAAGCCCAACACCATGCAAAAAGCCCAACACCATGCAAATCCATGACACACAGCATTTAGGTAAGATTTTCCTGAAAAAGAGTATTGTGTGTTCACTCTCTGATTTTCAATACGATTGCATGTATGACTCAAACCAGAGATTTTTATCATTAATTCTCAGTCCCCTCCCTATGGTGAAATCTCTCAGTTGTTAGATTTGTGCTTTCACATAGAATAAATTATTTCTGTGCGAGAAGTCTGGCCAATTGGACTTTGTCCAGTTGGAGTCTTGCTTGGATGTGCTTACGTGCGCAAAGCACCACCCCAATAACAAGAACACTTAGTCTGCACTTGTAAGAGCTGAGAAAACTTTTGGGGGAGGCTCTTTGCAATAGTAACTCTAATGCACCAGCACTGCAGCTAGAGCCAAAGAATCTAACATCTCCATTTTATTATAGCTTTCAAGCAAAACATTCACGTGGTGCGCCTGTTTTTCCAAATTACTTTCTTGTATGAAACCCTCATTCTATTCAAAACAATGCCCCAAGAAGATGTCTTTTGCTGCTATAAATCAGAAATGACTCAAGACATGAAGAGAATTAAAGGGTCAGTGGCAAATCATGTAAGCAACTCAGTAGTGTCAAAGCAAGAAAAACATGTATTGCAAATGGGTTATACAAAACCCTGCAAAGAAGGTTTGATTGAATATCTTCTCTAAAGTAAGTTTACCTTCAGACATCCTTTGAACAACACCCAATTCTAAAAAGCCTTTAATCTTGGCATAGAGAAGAAAAGCGCTTGGAAAGCCTCATGAGCAGTCATTTACAAGAAGTTTCCAATCATTTCGAGAAATTGGTTCAAATGTTGTGAAATACATGCATCAGCAATTCTCTCAATTTTCCTCTTATGCCCATGCATATGTCTTTTCCTTGAGTCCAGTGAAGTTTTTGTTAGTTTAAAGTCAGTATTTGAAATACTGAAGGATAAGTAAGACAGGTTTTGTAGGTGGAAAGGAAAATGTATTGTCAAGGGACAAACGTTAAGAGTGGGCACTTACACGGCAAACACTCTGCCAAGGTCCTGAGCAGGCAGGTGATGTTTGGAGAACCTATTCTACGTCATCAGCTGTGTTTAAGCAAAATCTGACCTTAGCAGCAGCTTATTTTAGCTAAAACAGCTTATGATTCAGTTGTCCCACCAACTTTGTACACGGACGCAAGTAAGTAAAACAGAACAGAAACAGAAAGCAGGGTTATTGCAGTGCTGCGTTTCATATAACTCCCTTTTACACGTCTCCCAGATGGATATATTCCGTGCCCGCTGCCCTTTGTGTTAGCGAAGAATTAGTATGATTTTCTCTTACCGATTAGCCATGCCAGGAAGAAGTTTTTCCCTTAGCAAATACACCGAGCAGGGAAAATGAAACCTGAAGCTCAGAAATCCTCCTGGTAGTCCTAGGCATGGAGCTGTCTCCCTCTTATACTCCCTTTGCCCGCTGACGACTGTCACTCAGCCTGACAGGCAGCGCAGGAAGGCAAGGGAGAGGCAGGAGGTGACAAACCCCACAAAGAAGACAAGGACAGTACCACCTCTCACGCCTTTCTCAGTGCAGGCAAGCTCAGACTAGAAAGTCAGAGC